CACCTTGCAAGTTGCAACTAAACGACATTTAGTAAACTGTCAAGAATACACAACTTGGACCTCCTTACTAAATGGAAAACCTATAATCGCATTTTCGGTGAAATTTGTTGGCAAGGTATTTATCTACTTATAATTCGATTACTGTAAGAATTAAAATAAAACAAAATTGGCAAATAGGTACTTATTGAAAATAATCTTAAGATACGGCTATGTAATCTTTAATACACAGGGCTTTTGGCCTGTCCAAACCTTTTTCTATTGTTCTGTACAGCTTATGTTTATAAAGGACCAATAAAATACCCAAAACTTGTAATAGCTCAGGTACATTTATTACAATTTTAGGAAATATTTAGATTATTCTGTAAAATTATTTAAAATGACCGTACTAAGTTTTGCATTAGAAATGCTGTTTTATTACTCTCTAATACATAAAAATAGACTATAGTAAAAGACGCTAACGATAATTTTGAACGCAATATCACCCAAGTTCGAAATAATATTGATAGCATCATTATTGAAGCATCAGAAAATAAACGCAAGCGCCCAGGTAACAGCAGATTTGATCACCGCATTTTTGCTTTAAAGATGTGTGACGTTATCCTAAATTGTTCAAAAGATCGATTTGATTTTAAAGAGCATCTAGTAGTTGCCTCACTTTTTTTTTTCGGAATAGTTTGGTGAGTATTGTGGTAAATTTCCCGAGGATAAACTCACTTCCGCAGGCTCTTTTTATCCCAGACTTGACAAAGAACGATTGCGAACTGAACTGTCTGTTATTTATTCAAGAAAAGATTTCAGGACATTGAATGGCGCACTAACTCTACTAAAATTTTTAACATCAAACAATCTAAGAGATATATTAAAAGAGACTAGAAAACTATTAGAAATTGTGGTAACAACTCCTATGACAACATCAGAGACTGAACGATGTTTCTCAACAATAAATCGAATCAAAACGTTTCTCAGAAATTCAATGACCGAAGATCGTTTAACAGCTCTTTCCATGCTATCTATTGAAAAAAAGTTTACATCCGAAATAGACAATTTTAATGAAAAAGAACATAGGATAGACTTAATTTATAAAAAATAGACTGTAATCGCACAATCTGTTTAAATTTTCACGTCATTTTTTAAACATTTTGCTTGAAGAAAATAGAGTGCAGTAAAATACTGCTTGGTGATTCTTTTTTTTTGTGTTGCAATCGTTTCAGCAATCCATCATTCTGCAAGCATAATAAAATCGATGGGACTTTGACTAAGAAGAAGGTAAGCTTTTTTGCAAAAATTGCAGAACACCCTAAAATTTTTACTACAAGTCGCCACTGCTCAAAAGTATAAATTCAATAGGTTAAAAATAGAGGCAGGATTATATACATACAAAACAGATCTTATTGATAATATGTAATCAATAATGGATTCTATTATACTATTTTTATATAAATAGATAAGAGATCTAATTCATAAATAATTAAAACATGTGTCTACATCTTCTACAACGGAAGTAACAATTACAATTAAATTATAATAATAAACAATAGAATTATAGATACGTGCGAAAACTATAGCGCTAATGACCGGCGTTATGTATACAGGAAATGCGATCTGCTTAAAGTGTAAATTATGAATTTAATAAACCACAAATCGTCGATAGGTTTCCCTCTTAAAATTAAACCGTGTACATTATAATAATCGATTCAATTCCGATAAATTAATTTTATAGTTATTGTCGAGACCATTTCTTTGCAGAAAAATTAGTGTCAGACATATTTTCAGAGAGTGAAATCAAACATGGTAAGATGAAATTATTTATCTATAATTTAAAAAAAGTTTTGTTATAATAAAATAAATATTATTGTTTAGTAAAATCACTGGTGTTTACAAATTCGTAAATATCAAGTGTTACATTAGAACGTTAACAAGAATCGCAGTTTATTGTATTTGTTGTGTTAAAAAGGTATTGGCTTCATGTTACGTTAATGTGGTAAAAACGTAATTTACATATTAATTTTAACTATCGTTGATTGAAATTAAACACAAGAGTGAAATGGCCAAATTGTGAAATAACCTACCGATTATAATTAAAGCAGTAGTGTATAGATAAATAAACGAGAAAAGAATTGGAAAGAACTGGAGTATTAACGTAAATAAAGGATAGACATTAAAAAACTTACAATATGTATATTTCAGGAACTAGAAATATTAAAAATATTTAATTTAGATAAACATGCAAACTTCTTTATAAATGTTTATAATTGTATATATTACTGAACCACTCTGTATAATTTATATTGTTGAAAAGTGTTATTTAGCTTTCCAATGGTATACAAGTAGGGGTTGCTATTTTTTTCTGTTGAGATAGAGGGTGGATAGGAGGTTGATGGAGATAAGTCCAGTTTTAGGCATAGCAAGCAAGTTCTTAAATTATCACCTCATAAACGTATGAAAATGGAAACAACTGAAATTACAGACAACATCCGTATCTTCAATAGCAGTGTCAAAAGTATATTATTATGGCCAGTCCCGGTTTATTCGCTCGGTGCTTGGGGTGGGCACCCGGAGGAGTCCAAATCTCATAGTACATAATTAAAAAATATAAATTAAGAGCAAACATGACGAGCGCTCCTCCGCCAAAAAACAATTTTACATTTGAGGCAGTTAAAAAAAAATTGTAAAAAAAATGGTTCAGGCCAATCGTTCTAAAAATGAACGCGTCATTCTATAACAAATATCTTAACTATTTTCTAAATAACGTTTTTTTAAAAAGATTACCAATTTTAAACAGGACCAAATATTAACCTAGTTTTCATTTCGATACTAATTCTATTAAAACAATGATACCAGTGAATATGGCAACGCTGCTAGTCTATGAAGCCCGTGGTTAAAAGGGTAGCTACTGTTTAGTTAAATTTCTTAATTCCTGTGTCGAAAAATAGGTAGTTGTTTTTGAAGAGGTGCGAAATTATTCTAATCGTCTTAGTTTGTTGTTGAGGCGTTGTTAGGTTTTTGTTTAATTTAGTTTTTAGTTAATTTATGAAACGAAAAATTCTGGAAGGCAAAAATGCTACCACAACTGATAAATTTCTATTTTAATTGTTTGCTGCCAGAGTTAGTAAATCCTAGAGAAATACGACATGTGCCAATTAGGGAAAAGAGATTGTCAAAAATTTTGCCCGCTTAAAAAAATGTGTAATATACAGGGTGTTTCTAAATACATGCGACAAAATTCAGGAACTGATTGCTCGTATGAAATTAAGATGGGTCTTTCCTATAACAAAATTTCCTCAGCCCACTTCTTTTCGAGATATCACCCTTAAAAGGTGGTGACTAAAATTGAGTTTTTATTTTTTTCTACAATTGCAGTAAAGCTAGAAACTTGAAATTCTGTAATCGTAAAGGACTAACCACGCGTATTTTTTCAATATTCCTGTTACATTATAGGGGGATGAAATTAGTAACACTTACTTTATTTTATATCAAAACTTTTTTTCGAGATGAACTTCTTAAGGGTGATATCTCGGAATTCGAATTCTAGATAATATTGCCTCATTTATTTTGCCAAAATTTAAATATTTTGAGATATTCTTGTCTAAAAATTATAAGGGGTGTGATCACCTTAAGATTGAAATAGAATTAGCGTTAATTCATGAGATGCAAAGCATCATAATTGTCGCGTCACAAAAACCACTTGCTGTCAAGAGAAAATTTTGATTCAACAGTATTGTATATTTTGTGTTGTAAGAGAGAAAAAATTAACATTTCGTGTTTTAATAGTTATTTTTTTAATTTAATAATCTATGTGAAAAAAAAATTATACAGACATTAAAAAATTGTTATAATAATATACTTACTTTTTGGATTTTTATTTGTTTTTCTTTTTTTTTTTCGAGTTTTAAAAATGCATGTTTTTACAACAAACATTAATAATGAAAGCATGTGTTTTGTTAAAAAAATTGACAACGAATAGCAATGAAAGGGAAACCCTAAATCTCCAGCGCCCAGGGCCCGAAATTAAGTTAAACCGTCACTGATTATAGCTGTCAAACCTGGAAAACCACGAAATAATATATAAGAAAGAAAACAAGTGCTTAAGAAAAATATTTAGAATTTTTTCTATCCAAACAAGTGAAGGAGAACGTAGAAGCAAATAGGTTAGGTTATTAAAACGGATCGATCATATGTTGCGAAAACCTGATACATTTAATGTCACCAATAAGCCTTAGAGTACCAATCAAATAGTTCAATAAAAAAATAGGTTAAACAATAAAAATAAAATTGAAGAGAGAAAACAGAATGTGTAAAATGCTAAAAATAATTGAGAGAAGTTTACATAGGTAAAAAGATAATAAATAATGTTCATGGGTGGTTGGGATAGATTCGGAGAATAAAAAGAATAAGAGCGTCGCAGGTTAACAGAAGAAATGAGAGATGTAAGTTAAAGAAAACATGGAGGAACATGACGGTATCAGGGAAAACTAAAATCCAAATGGCGCATGGAAGAGAAAGAAAAATATTTTATTCACCTTGCCAAATGGTCAGTTGAGATGATGATTAAAATACATTATAGTAAATCTAAAACAAGTAGTTTAAGGATAATGAGGATGTAATATTACAAAACCTTAATTTAATAATAATTATATTGATAATATGTTTTAATATTTTTAAAAATAAAAGTAGTTTATTTCTGTAAAAATGTGCCTTTAGGACATATCCAGATAGTATTTTGACTAATATTTTGCATTCTTTTGTTTTGGAATTGGACGAATCGAAGCAAAATTCTGAAGATAAACGTTCAAATCTATGTTTTTATTATTGACACCTATTCATGCATCCTTGCAATAACAATAATCTAATAATCTATTCAATATTTGTACCAATAATAATTGTGTATTAAGAATTACTTTTTCTTGATATATTAATAAAATGTCTTTTATTTTCAGGGAAACAGTGTGGCGAGTGACTGTTCTAACTGCAAACCAAAGTCAATTAGCAATAACAATACCATGAAACACAATAACAATTCAGAACCATTTTATTTACATCCACCTTTGAGTGATCGCTCATTGGAACCAGCACATGCACCAGAAAATGGCTTGTACATCAATCCCATGAGCAAGCATAGGCACAGGTAATTGTTTTATAAAAAAATTAATAAGTTTGTAGTATTATTTTATGCTTCATGAATAGTTTTTATCAATTTGTTCACCTCTTTTATATTGCGTTACTATTTTTAACACAAACCGTCTTCAGACAATTAACCCAGCTTTCCTTGGTCTCTATCTTTATTTCTGTACTTCCTAATTTTCTCTGATTATTTACTTTTATTACCGATCTTCTTGTAATTTATATTTCCTATGTTTAATTCTCTTAAAAGTCGTATTTATTTGTGAGTACAACGTATTTTTTTAACATCAATTACTTCAGTTTAATTTTTCTTATCCCTCTATATTCGTTTATTCTTAAATACTCTGCGTTGTGATGTTCTATTTTTATATTTCCTCAGTTCATTCCTATGTTTTTTGGTAGGTTCATCAAAAAATTGTTCAAAGCAATATTCCTTAAAATATGTGTTCGTTGGATTCAAAGTTGTAAATTTTATGTCAATGGGTTGTATTCGAAATTTTTATATTTATCTAAATAATTTGGATGTCGGTGAATTATGTCCTGATAGCTCAATTGGTCAAAGCGAAGCGCGTAGATCGGATAGGTGGGTTCCAGTTCCCCCGTGGACATATTTTTTTCATAAGTTTGCTTTCACTTTTTGGAGCCCAAAAATATTTTTCCTACGACCACTTAGGAAAGTGACACATATCACACTATATAGTCCTATGGAAAGTGCCCTATATTACACGCGTATGAATAAGAATTTACTTTCCACCCGTGCTACTTTCCGCAGTAGCTGTTACAAAATGTCAAACACATAATTTCTATTTTGATCTATGTAATGTCCATATTAATACTAAAATCGATATGATTATTAAATTAGTTTTTGAGAAAATCAGTCTTACTTTATTTTAATAAATCAATTTAGAAATTTTTATGTCTTTTAAATCTGCTTTGCTCGTCCGGCCAATATCCACTTGTTACATAAAATAAGGCATTTCGTAACTGGTTTCATAATAGCTATTTATCAAACCAGTTGCGAAATTCCTTATTTTATGTAACGAGTAATTATTTGGTGGACGAGCAGAGCGAGATCCCGCAACATAAACAAGTTATATAAAACGTCATTTCGTAACATGTTAGATATAATATTTTTTATATTTTTTACTAAACTTGTGTTCTGGTTAAACATTACTGACATTTAGGCAACCAATATTACTTTCTCGTGTTGTTAGCTGCATATGCATAATTTTATTGACAATTAGAACCACGACTGGAACATCATTAATTATTTATTTTCAACGAATTACAGTGAGTTTCTATTGTTTATTAAAGCTATTCTATTTTCAAACGAGTAGGTTATTTTGTCGTGTATTGTGTTTTAATTATTTTGTGCTGTTTTAAATTCGAAAACAAGGACCAAAATAACCTTATTCCTAGGTTGTAAGTTTAACCAATCTGCCCTTCTTTGATATAAACTTTCAATAATTATGTATATTATTGATTTTAAAACCAAAGAAGGTTTATTTTAATTTTTTTCGCAATTGTTGTAATGGATTTTTAGAAACCAGTTTCATAATGTTTACCATTATGCACTTAGTTAAGATATATCTATCATTTTAAGAATAAGTAAGTAATAAGGTAACTCAAGCAAATTTAGTGAGATTATTTTTTATTTATTTATGCCTTTAAAAAAGGCACAAAAATATTTAAGTTAAAAAAAAAACGACACGGTAGGGTTAAATTTAAAGAAATAATCTGAAAAATCATTTTAAAGTAAACAAGTTGCTCTAGCCTTTAAATTTGGAGCTACTTTATTATTGCTTTGTATGGCAGAGAATGTAGAGTAAAAACCGCTACCGTACGCCTCTGGTAATAGCTGGAAACTATGTCTTACAGTAAACGAAAGTAACAACAAACCTATCGTAACAATGGAAACAAATTATTTTAAAGTTTTTAAATGGTAAATTCAAATAAAACAATCTCTTGATATGGAAGAATATTTTATGTAAATGTTTTAGGTTAAATCGTCTTTTTTTGGGCCCAGGGCTCTTTAATTCTCTAACGTCAGGTAATAAGGACCTAAGTCAAAAATTTGAGTTTTCCAGAAAATGTAAACTTGAGACACTGAAAAAATTTCTGACTTACCACCTTTATAACAATTCACTGCACTTTAATAAAAGGTATTAGACTTAAGTCTTTAATATCAATTGAGAGAGTGTAAAATTCTTTTATAAAACCTTATTTTATCTAAATTTGTACCTGACTTCAAAGAATTATACTGTATTAATAATATATCCTGTATAATTTTTTCTGTGATAAAAATAACTGAAAACCACTATGATATTTCAATAAAAAAATATAGAAGCTTCCTTAAAAAAAATTATTAGGGGTTGTAGAAGTAAAAATTAAGTTTTGAAAACGTCATAAGAAGGGCATATTGTAATGCCATTGAAAACAGTTGTTGATTTTAAATGTTGCTTGTAAAAGATAACTTGGGACTCCTTGTATGCATGGTGATCGAGAAAAAACTAAATCGGTTTATATATTATATAAGTATAGATAAGTATTCAAAATGTTTGGTTTTATCGTTCACAAAAAAACTTTCAGAGTGGACAATTTTTAAAATGTTCTATAGCAGTGGTCGCCAACCTGTCGATCCCGAGCTACCGGTAGCTAGCGGAGGCAATTCTGGTAGCTCTCACAACGATTTTAATTTAAAAAATACAAACTGCAAAAATCAGAGAAGCTTCCGAAAATTCCACAAAAAAATCTAATTGTCATAATATTAAACATAAACAGCGGCAACGTTGCGGTGAGCGATCTGCCGCTGACGCCATCAAGATAGAATCGGCTAGAACCGACCAGCCGGACCAGCGCGTTAGTGTTCGAGAACGATCAGGATACGGGATAAATACGCACGGCGCGGCGACATTGCGCTTAGTTTAAAACTGAACGCGTAACCAACGTCTAGCGGTTGGGTTAGTAGAGAACAACAAAAAATAATATTATGGCAAGCAGTTGTAAGAAGGTAAAGACATACCACTTTCATTCGGAATGGGAAGAACAATACTTTTTTACAGAAGTTAAAGATAAAAATGTGTGGTTGTTATGTAATACTTCGGTCTCCGTTGCTAAAAAAGGAAATATTGAGAGACATCATAAAACTGTACATTCTAATTTTGAAAAATCATTCCCACTACATTCTGCCGCCAGAAAGGAGAAACTGAAAAAGTTAAAAAAGCAGTTAATTGGACAACAATCAATATTTTTAAGAACAGTCGACAAAAATAAGGCTGCAACTAAAGCATCGTACCGTGTGTCCCAGATAATTGCACAAAAAAAAAGAAACTTTATGAAGACGGAGAAATGATAAAACAGGCGTTTTTAGAAGCTGCTGATTCGTTATTTGCCAACTTTAGAAATAAAGACGAGATAGTTTCAGCTATAAAATCTATGCAACTTTCTGCTAATACAGTGATGAGACGTATAGAAGTAATGAGCAATGATATTTTTTTACAGTTAAGAACTGACTTAGATAACTGTGTTTATTTTTCACTTCAACTGGATGAATCAACAGATGTCGTTGACACTGCCCAGATGGCCGTGTTCGTCAAGATGGTTTTTAGTGATGTTACGATTAAAGAAGATCTTTTGAAGTTTATTCCACTGAAAGGACACACTACTGGACAGGAGTTGTTTTCTCATTTAAAAAATATTATTTCTTCCGAGAAAATTCCAATATCGAAAATGGTAGGCTTGACAACCGATGGCGCTCCAGCTATGGTGGGTTGTGATAAGGGTCTGGTGGCGTTATGTCGTAAAGATGAAACTTTTCCGCAATTTATCTGTTACCACTGCATTATCCATCAGCAAGCATTATGTGGAAATTTTCTGAAACTAAACAACGTTATGAAACTGGTGGTAAAAATTGTGAACAAGATTGGAGCTCAAGCGTTACAAAGAAGATTATTCAAAACCTTGGCCGAGGAAGTTGACTGTCAATACGGGTACCTATTCCTTCACTCTGAAGTCCGATGGTTAAGTTAAGGAAGGGTGTTGAAACGTTTTAATGATGTCCTATCTGGCATAGTTCAATTTTTCAAACAACGCGATGAATAGACTCCGGAACTAGAAAATTCAATCTGGCTTAGAGATTTTGGTTTTGGTTTTGGTTGCAGCTTCAGAGGAAAGACAAAGAACTAGCGGGAATGATTTATTTTTTCAGAAAAAATATCTCAAAATCCATTAAAACCCTATGACAGCAAATATCATGTAGAAATAGTTTCTACCCTGAAGAATAACTTCAAAAATCGTTTTAAGGATTTCAACTAAATGGCTTTAGTAGCGCAGTTTGTTGTTTCACCCTTTATGGAAATTGATTTCCAACAGTTTGCAACTTGTGTAATGCAGAACTTTGGCGAAGACATTGCTGCAACAGAAATGGAAGTAATTGAGTTTCAAAATGATTTAGCCTTAAAATCGTTAGTCTCAAGTACCAAATGTATCTGGCCTATTGTAAGTAATGACAAATATTCAGTTCTATGCCGTGTTGCCTTGAAAGTTAAAGCATTATTCAGTTCAACCTATTTGTGTGAATCTTCTTCTTCCAATATGAAGTTTATTAAGAACAAATATCGCAATCGACTTACAGATGAACAATTGGATAATTGTATTCGAATGGCTGTATCAAATTATACTGCAAACATTAAAAAAATTATCGATGAGTCTGAGTGTCAGCCTTCTCATTGAACGTGCTTTTTTATTTTTCAATGTTTATGTTCATGATAGTGCGTTACTTTTTTGTTGTTATTATTAACTATTTTTAAATCTTACGTGACATGCCGTTGTGGCTGGATAAAAGTTTGTGTTTATTTTTCAAACACCTTTGTTTAGTAGGTAGGAATGTAGCTATGAACAAGTACGTACTAGTAATATTAGTTATTTTGTTATTAGTTTATTATTAGTACCTATGTGTTATGTATTACCAGTTAAATAGTAAAATAAATACATATAATGATAAATTAACTGTGGATTATTTTATTTACGTTGCGTTACGTGGCTTCCGTGTGGGTAGCTCGCTGTTTATTCCAAAATTAACAAAGTAGCTCAACACATTGGGTTGGCGACCACTGTTCTATAGTAACAATCGTGGAAAACCTAACATGTTTAATATGACAGAGAAGCAGATTTATTGCGTTTGACTAGTTAAATAAATACGTTATATTTTTTTTATGAGTTGTATACAATTATTTCTAATTTTTTAGTGCATCAAGCAGTTCTGAGAGTAGCGTAAGCAGTACTAATGGAGAATCGTTTTATCTTCACAATCCTCAAGAAGTCATATACAACAGAGTTAAGGATCTTTTTGAAAGCACAACGAGGGGACAAGGTTTGACAGGTAAATTACAAATTATGATCTATTTATTTTTTTGTATTTATTCGCTCACAATTGGTTAGTAACCTGTGAATTTAAACCTTTCAAAACAGTCGAGAGGCGCCAGAAAAAGTAACTTTCCCGGCTAACATGTGTCATTTCTTTATCAACAAACCTCACTTATAATATGCTTCCTAAGAGTTTTCGTATTTCTTCCAGCCTTTTTCCGAAATCATACCTTAAATAGCTTTTTCTGCAGCCTTTTGTACATTTAATTTAACTGACGGATATATCTGTAAATATATAACGACAATTTTATAAATAAAAGTGCTTCTCAGTGTGTAACTGGAAAAATACTTACATAACTCCTAACTGTCAGATATAACTTGTTATATATTGCCTAGTTACTGTTTTACAGGTATCTTCGGTAAAAAATATTATCAAATTATGATAGAAATTAATACCAATAGTATTATAAAATTACTAATAGTAGATTGTGAGCAAAATCGTATACATACCTCGGGGAACTTATTCTAGCCTCGCGTCTGCAACTTACCTTGACGCTCGGCTGTAGCAGAGTATTTCCTTGCTTGGTATGCAATATACTATTACAGACCTACCATAAAGGTACTTGTTCGATGGTCGCTGTAGAGACATGCTGCAGCTAATGAAATTAAATGAGACGAGACACTCATTTTGCTAGCTGATTCTGCTGTCTCGTGCATTTAAATTACATTAAAACGGTAGTATCTCTGCATCTTGTCTCGGCCGCTTGCAGCTGCAGCATGTCTTTGCACCAACCACCGAACGAGTACCTTAAGACGGAACATTCGAAACCATAGATAAGACAAAACCCTACTACCAATGAATTACCAAAAAGCAAAGTAATGCCAAATTGATGCTCGGCCCGCTCTTATTTGAAGTGGGACCAGATTAAGCAAATATAGTTGGGCAACAGTTGGCGAGCTACTCACGAATAGTTGGCGAGCTGTTTGCAAGTTTTTTGAGAAAAATATTAGCCAGCTGTTCGCCCATATTGATATTCGTAATTGCTTGGTGTTTGTTCAGTGGATGTAAAATTGAGTGACAAAAAAGATAATTTTGGCACATTGTATGCGCTCTTATTAATAATTAAAAGTGTGACAAAGAAACCGTAGAAGGCGACGGTGGTGGCAAAGAATTATATTCGCTAACACAAAATTACAATTTTTTCAGAGTTATGGACAAAATATTGTTGAAGAACTTTACGTAAATGGATACAACTACATTTGAAAGTATCAAGTATCATCGTTATGATTGATACAAACATTATAATTTGTTTGTCGTATAATCTTGAATCATTTTTAAATAATTACGGATGCGTACTCAGTATTATAAATATATAATGCTTCCGTCCTAGAACACTGGAATTCAATTAAATATAGAGGTATACAGTATACGAGTGCATACTGGAAAAGCTCTCCTGTTACTTTGATGTACCACCTCGGGACCGAACTCGTGTGTTGTCTATCTGTTGGCCAATAATATTTGCTTAGTCTGGTCCAACCTTAAATTGAATTATTGATATACTAACGAGACAAATGTGAAATCAATTTGATTTTCCTGTTCGGATTAAGCAGAGCAAGTACAATTGTCTATAATTGATTTTTTAATGTATGTACTTACATTATTAGCGAGCGTAAATCTAAATTTATCGCTAGTGTTTAAAACGTCAATAAAAACTTTGTAATAGACATTGCTAGCGCCTTTAGTGACCGGATAGGCTAGCTACGAGATTAGTGTGCATCAACATTCTTAAAACAGTTAGGCAGTGATCTCTCCGGTCACGTCGTAGATGCGTGACCACTGGGACGTTCCACCATGGGCCGTGTCACCATACGACGACGCGGAATGAATGACAGAGAATGAGGGAGTGAATTAGCGAATGGGAAAGTACGAGCCCCTTCCCATTTCAGTTGGCCCACCTACTAATATTTTCTTTATATAACGACAATAAGAAAGTACTAAAGATTACATGCTTTTTTATATCATAAATTAATTAACAATGCATCAATTTAGAATTATATTTGAACTAAAACTAGAAAACATCATTTTTTTATTTATTTTTAAATTTATTAACACATGGAGCATTATTGCATTATTTCAACTTGAATTTAATTCGTTAGAAAATAAACCAAAATCGAAGGTAGCTTTGAAAAAATAACAAACAATAATGCAAATAACTGTCACAAGACAATTTAACCTCTTTTAAGCTAATTCTGTCTGATAAAATGGGTAGAGGAAAAATCATTGACGAAAAAATACGTTTTCTTGTTATAAAACATTGCAATTCTGGAAAATCGAACTCGGAAATTGCAAATATATTAGATTTATCACGATATAGTGTAAGAAATATAGTTAGAAGATACAAAACTACTAGTTCAATCAGCCCAAAGCCCCGCCATGTTAGAAAAAGCAAGATTACAAATGCCTTTAGACGGGCATTGAAAAGAATTATTGAAACCAACCGTCGTGCTAATTACCTTGAATTAAGTGCTCAGTGGAGTAATGCTGTTGGAAGACGAATTTCGAGATCTTCATGTCATAGGGAAGCTCGAAAACTGGGATTTGGGACTTACAAAGTAAGTTTATAATAATAAAAACAATAAAAAAAAACATGGATTAAAGACACTAAAACAATCAAATATGTTTGCTTAAAATTGATAATATTGTTACAGGTTAAAGAAAAACCACTACTAACTGCGAAATAGAAAAAAAATCGATTAAGATGGACAAAAGAATATATGGGTTGGACTTCTCATCAATGGGATGCAATACAATGGAGTGACGAGGCTCAATTCGAAGTTTGTGTTGGAGATAGCAGAAGTCGAGTTATTCGCAAAAAACATGAAGCGTTACATCCAGATTGGCTCAAAAGAAAAGTAAAATTTCCCGCATCGGTCATGGGCTGGGGCAGCATGTCATCTAAAGGAATAGGGAAACTGCATTTTACTGAAAGAATTGTAAATACAAATAAATATTTGGACATTTTGGAGGAATCACTTTTACCGACTATGGAATTATATTTGACATCAGGGAAAGATTTTGTATTTCAACAGGATGGAACAGGGTGTCACACGTCAAAAAAAGCTCTAAAATGGATGGAAGACTTCGGTGTTCCACTTTTGGAATGGGTTTCTAGTAGTCCTGATTTATCACCAATAGAAACGTTGTGGCATGAGATGAAAAAGGTACTTCGAAAACATCCTGCAAGAACAATACCTGAACTTAAACAAAAACTTCAAGATATATGGGACTCGTTTACACCAGAATTTTGCCAAGGCTCAGTTAATACCATGCCGCAAAGAATTTCAGCTGTAATAAAAAATAGAGGTGACGTTACTAAATGGTAAACTTTAAAATTGATTAACGTTTGATTCCAACTATTTGTTTATTTTTTTTAATTTTATGTTAAATAAATATTTTAATGTTTTCTACATGTTTTTTTGTGATTAAACGATATTAAACATATTGTTCAACGAATAAAAATTGGACAGTTCATGCAATATTTATATTTTTAATCTTTAAATACGAATTTCCTAAATTTCAATAGGTGGGCCAACTGAAATGGGAAGGGGCTCGTAGTAGGACCATTAAATGGTGGTACAATAAACCGCAGGTTGCAGTGCCACAAGGCTACAAACAGATTATGGTGATAGCACAAGAGGTGCAAAGGGTGTAAAAACTAATACAAAGAAAAATAGCCCCTGTAGTGCCTTTATAAGTCCATTTAAATCACTTGTATTGTTCCAAACGTTTTCGCGTTCGTAAAAGGCTCATTTATAAACTTGTATCAAAGTATACTATTATTTGGTCTGCATTTAAGACACTAACGATCTTTTGATCATTGGCCTATTCTTTCATTAAGAATAAGTAGGGAAGCAAGGAAACTTAAAGCTTTTATCATAGTTAAAAATTATTATACATTATATAGGACGTCATACAAACAAAAAACAAACAAACAAACAATATAATTTGAATGGACAATTAAAAAAATTAAAAAAATAATATAATAAAAAATAGTACAAGTCAAGTGAATTGTAAGTATTGCACTCAGATTTCGTCTTCATGTCTTCATGGCCATCATATCCACTCTTGTTGTACAAACTCATCTACAATTTGATTTTTTCAAAAGAATGCATAGTAATAGTATTTCTAGGAATAATACGTAAAATGATAAATTCATGTTTTACTTTTAGTGTAATTATTTTCTATTAGGCTTTTCTATTTTATTCATCGATTATGTAATTTCAATTAACATTCATATATTTTTCAATACTTTTTCCAGTAATTTTTCAAACATTTTTAAAATTTTTAGTATTAGAACTTCGTAATCGATCAAAAATATTTTGTCTTTTCTTCACTTTTGACTTTGACTGCACCATTGGTTTACAAACCTTGAAGGTTTAGCACACCTAGTCTCTGTAAATCGCTTTCCACTGCTTCCATACATTTCCTTCTTACTTTTTCTTTCTTTTTTTGTCAGTAAGGCCTATCAATAGTGCTTTTTTTAATTATAATTTCTGACAACTTGAGTACGTGACCAGCCATCTTATTCTTGACGTTATCACAGGACTTTTATACAATTCATATATTTCTCGGTTTGTTATTATTACCCTCTGATATTCTACCTTTTCCGTCCACATCGTCTTAATAAAAGTTTCTTTCCCATACTTCTGTTTTTCCAATTTTGCACTCATCGGTCATAATTATGTAAAGGAGAAAATGTCTATAAAAAATGAAAAAATTGACAGTCATAGACCATAATAGATTACTATCTTATCTGTTCTTTGTTTACCTAGTTCTTTAACAATTCTTTTAATATCATGACTTCAGCGTGTTTATCTCTTGTTTAATATTATCAGTTACCATCTGGGGTATAATGATGGTGGGTGGGGTTTTCCTGGTTTTTTTTTCACCTGTAAGTCAATTAGCATCATCAATCATCTTTATGTCGCCCCAAAGCGTCACGGCAAATAATAATA